AAAGCTTCATGAAGCATCTTTTATACAGGAGACTTCAATGAAACTTGAAACAAGTTTATGATAAAGTTAAAAGTTTTTCAACTTTATGAAACATAGATGCTTTATGAAACAAAATTTCATCAAAGTTGGTCCATGACGCAGTTGACATAATGATCTTAAAATGATGTACCGTATAATTATTGTTATTCTTGTATCACGTGAGAAGCATAAAGAAGCTTAAAGAATCATTAACGTTACTGAAAAGAATCGACTGACGGCTCCTCGATCGGTCATTTCATCATCTCTTCGGTCAACATGTACTGGAGACTTGTTCTTTTTTACATTTTGGTTATTCTAAAACTAATTCAAGGAGCTAGTAAGTGATGCAGTTAAAGAATATCTTGATGTAGAGTTTTATGTCATTTATAAATCCATTAGCCTTAAGGCATGCATGTATAATGTATTAAATCTCAATAATTGTATCACTAATGTAGCTGTTAGAAGTTGTAGCCTCCCACGTTGATTTTATAACCATGGGTCACATGAAGAACTTCAAAGAGGTGTGGTGCACTCTCTACTGTCCATGTCTAGTCTTGATCTCATGGGGCAGACTAGACTCCCACCCCTTTATGTCAGAAAGGGGTGGAGTCTGGCCCTGTGAGATACTAGTGCACAGTCATAGTTTTAGTTAGGGTATGGGTTATATACATGCATTAGGTTGGTGTCAGGGCATTGCTAGTAAAGTTTAGTGTTTAGCCATGCTTGTTCCATAGTGCCATCTTGTTTATGTGAATCCAGACCACTCCCTTCATACATGGGTGAGCCACACATGTACATCATTCACATCCACATAAGAATAATGGGTGCTCTTATTTCACTTCCTTTTCAATGTTAATGCTGTTGTAACATATTGTGCCATCTACATTAGATTTTTTGTGAGTAACTTGCATATAGGGAATTTCATCATTATTCATGTTTGGCCAGACCCTCCTGAAAGTACAAGGGAGTGATCTGGCTATTATGAGACGAGATATGCATTAAAATTTGTTTTATATCTTGTAGTCATCACAGTACCTCCAGTGCCAGTGACAGTTCCTCTTTTTACAACAGCAGCATTTACTTGTGAAGGAACTGGAGACATATTGAATTGGGCAGCACGTAATAGTGAAGACACTGAAGCATTTACTCTTGACATTCGACAACAAAGAAACATCACATATACTGATCCTGGTATTGGTCCTGGTAACTTATCATCAGTACTTACTATCAGTGGGTTACCTGTTAATGATGACTTACAAATTAGCTGTCAAATAATATCATTTCAACCATTCGAACAAGTGATATCTTATAGTACACTAAAATTAAGAGGTAATGATGTATAATAATATGCAGCTGTGTATTTTGTAATGTGTATTAGATGTTTCACCAGTTGAAGATTTAAAATTTAATTTCACTTCAAGTAGCTCTCTTGAAATAACATGGTCACCTGCTGTTTATCGGTTTCCTCCTCACTCACCTGTCACTTATCAAGTATTAGTTACTGATGAGGAAGATGGAGATATCATACTGGATGGAAATACACCTGACACAAATTATACAGTGCCTAATGTTACACAATGTGATTCATTCAATATCAGTATAACAGCACTGGTGGATCAATATGCACCTAATGACAATGATACTGCCAGAAGTAATACTGGAAGTAAGTGATAATAATACTGCTGCAATTGATTTGCTGATGGTAGGTTATAATCTTACTGTTACTAAAAATCTGGAACACAGTGTTTCTTTTGAGGTAATTTTTATCAATTATGGTAGTCAGCTCTTATTTATGGTATATAAAAAATAATGCACAATATATTAGGTTAGTTCCATGCCATCATCATATTGTGAGAAGAAGCTATTTGTTAAAGATCAATCTGATGGTTCTGTACTAGTGGATGATGAAATACTTAGTGGTGATCATAAAAATATCACATTAGAGCCGTTTAGAAAATATCAATTGTTAACTGAAGTTAAGAACTTAAGGAATAAGGTTGAGGATAAAAACTACACCATCATATGTAAGAGTAACTTTGTCTTACACATGTACTCATTTATTTTTGACTATAGCTACATATAATGTACAAGATCTGCTAGTATCTACTGAAGGGAATGGATCAGTTAGTGTACAGTGTGTGTTTGTATCAGGATCAACTGCTGATGGATGTCATGTGATATTTACTGATACTAGTAATGGAATAATTATTAATGTTTCACTATCACTGGTCCAAGAGTCTACACTGGTAGCACTACCAGCTGGTAATTACACAGTGACAGCTTATGATATTGTTAATGGAACTTTATATGGACCTGCTGTGTATCCTACACCAGTTCAAATTATCAAAATGATGCATTCTACTTCTAGTAGTACACATGAAAGTAAATAATTAGTTACTTATGATAATAATGATAATAATTATTCATTATTATAGGTATGTCTCCTACTGCCAGTAGTGAGGTTATTCCCACTCCTACAAGTTCTACAACAATTTCTACACTTGGAACTGAAACCCCCTCATCAACAAGTATGAACACACATATGCACATACTCATACCTTATGATGTTTATTATAATAGGTGGAACTATTAACGATGCCAATAGTGTTGTACCAGTTGTGGCTGGTACTGTCAGTAGTATTGTACTGTTGATACTGATCATACTAGCAGTATGTGCTAGTATCACTGTCAATAAGAGGAAAAGGATGAATGTACAAGTATTGATGCGTTCTGGTAATTAATATTTCATTATTACAAATAAATTTATGATTATTATAGACATTGCTACTATTCAACAACCACAAGCTGAGACCAATCATTATCAAGATGCTCTAGAATTAATGAGTGAAGTTCCTATTGCCACATCACCTGTACAACTGACTAATAATAGACCAATAGATGATGGGAATGACTATCATGTTACTATGAGTCAGGTAATCTAATTATTGATTTAATTATACATTGTAGATTATATTTAATGCACTCACTCATAACTTATTGTCTCCAAACATAGTGTTAACATTGTTATTCTATTCCTGACATTACTCCTTCCATTATCTAGTTTCTAACTGTCAATCATCCCATTCCTTCGCACAATGTTGAGGTAAGTGTTATGTCATGTGACTGTTTTGATAATAGTAATAACAATGTATTTCATACTGATAACAGTGTAGCTCATAGTGACTGTGGCTATGTTTACACAAACACATAGTTTTTAAAGTATCCACTTTGAACACCGTTTTCGTTTCCATAGAGTTCTATCATATTTCCATAGATTTTCATTCGTTTCTGTGTAAACGAAAGCATAAAACAGGCACAAAACTATACACATTGCATTGTTTTTGTTGCTGTGTAA